AAGTCTACAGACTCAAAACTGAAGCCATTACGCTTGGTGAGCTTATTGAACAAGATCTTGCCGAACAGCTGTGCTTTGGTGCGCGCTGTATTTATCTTCCCTTTCGCAGATTTCCACTGTGTGGGGCTCACCGCAAGAGCTTATGAGGATTGAGAGTAAAGCAGAGAGTCATTCCCAGAGAAGGGTTAAAGATCCTGAGCCAGACATCATCTTTATCAGCTCCATGGTAGATTACATGGCCTGTTGCTCTCTGACCACTGATGTTATATCAAGCAGATATGTTAGGATTTACTGAGACTAATATCATGTGCTTCTTCTCCCCTGCCTCTGAAAATAGGAATCACAGGAACAGACAATAGCAGGCTTTGTGTGATCTGTTTGTCTCTGTGTTCTCTTTCCACATCTGCTGGTCATACAGTAAACCTCGTGTCTGCGTCCACAGACTGGAAATTAAGATGTCGGGATTAACCTTTACTTACCTAAACGCAGCTCACTGAGGATTTGCACACACTTTTTCCTTCAACACTCCACTTCGCATTCACTCTGACAAACACAGTCTTTTTATATAGAGTGTTTTCAGGTGTGGTCATGTACACTGTCACCTGTATTGAAGGTCACTGAAGTGGCTCAGAACAGCTGGACACTGTCAGACTGTCCATGGCACCTCCAGACGGCTCCATGAGTTTCTAGGGAGGAAAAACAACCTAAGAAAAGATTTGTGTACATAAGCGTCCACAGTTGTGCCAATGTGCTGCAAATGAGGTATTATCTGTATATTTAACGCCACCATATTTTCCCAAGTCAAGTCCATTTTTATTAATGTAACACCAGATTATAACTGACTTTATCTCTTCCCAACTGTCCTGGAGATTCAAACCAAGCAGCATCATCCAGGGCTGAAAAATGAAGCCATAACATTAATGTCCAAAACTCTGTAGAGTCTCATGTTAAAATTCCCAACTTAACAGCAGAAATAAACATGTTTACAGCCTGGAACAAAAAACAGTTTTGGTCTCTATAGTTAATTTCCTCCTTCATGGCAGCTGTACAGGGGGTGAGTTTTTATATAACTCACCTGTGTAAATTTTATTAAGGCTTAAAGTTATGGAGAATTGTGAGTGTGCCACTTTGAGTGACAGGTGGGTGAGCGTATGTTTGCCACAAACCGGCATTCACCGAAGTCTCGGCTCCACACACGCTCCATCTCTTTGCCCATTTTTGAATTAGCCGGGAGCTTGGCGGAGTCAGGCTCTGCCAAGATGGGGAAGGCGGAGCAGCTCACTCTGAGCTTCAAAACTGCTCTCCAGAAACCTGTGGGTGATGTCATGGAGGCTACGTCCATCTTTATTTACAGTCTATGATTCAGACTAACAAACTGTTTTATGACACTATCCTTTAGGCCTCCACTATTCCATTGTATGTCTGTTTTGCTACAAGCATAAATTACCTTTTTTTTTTTTCATCATTTCAATCATGCTATTAAATAACACAAAATGTCCTTATTTGTCAAAGTAAAGTTTTTTTATAATAGTACATTACGTCTTTACTGTACGTGGAACTGTAGTAGGGAAGTCGGTTCTAAATTAGATTGTCGACCCAGGCCAACTTTTGGAAAACCTCCATCACATCGGTAAGGCTTTGTTTTTTTTCCATCGTGTCCTTGTTTAGACATGCTCAATAGCTCTGTATGTGACGAGATTACACTACGTTTCAGATGTGGTCTAGCATATCCAGGGACACTCTCTGAGGAGCTGAGGGGTTACAGAGCAGAGCTGTGATCCAGGCTGCCTACACAGCTCTGGGGCTTTTTCCCAGGCCTGGAGCCCCAGAAATAGAGTTTGCCCTGCTCTTTCCTGCAGTGAATCAAAGTTTCCCACTCTTTCAGGGAGCTTGGGGTCCCAGCTGAGTTCAACATGTGTGTGTGTCCTGATAACCAACCTTTTATGGCTCCCTGAAATAATCTGCCTCTTTGGTCATTTTAGTGAAACATTTTAATTGACAGAAAATGATGTTTGCATTAACATTTTCAATTAAAAGACAAAGACAAACAAATAATTAAATTAAAAGTTCAAGATTAGTATATTAATATCTTATATATATATATATATATATTATATTTATAAAGCTGCTGACAATGTCTCTGTAAAATGCTATTTAAATCATTGCAGATAAAAAAAAAACTAAAAAAACAACAGAATAAGTTCAGCTGCAGCTCTAAAGTATTAGTGGAAGTTTGTAATACCTTCCACAGACATTTTTAACTATAAACAGGAATAAAACTGCATCTATTAGCTTATACGCTATATGCATGGTAAGGGTATATTATAAGGAGGTATTTGCATGACCTTATTTTCTGCATGAAGCAGCTCATTGAAGATAAGAGCTTGCTGTGAGAAGACACACAGCTGGATATTAATGGATCTGAAATGACTTCTTCTAAAACTAGAACATTGTTGAATAGTTAACACTGATGAGCCCTTTTTAAGTCACTTTTGCAAGTAACTGATAAATGATCAGAATATGGACAATATAATCTTTGCTGTACATGACCAAACTCCATTCCTAACATTTGCAGTAAAGTGCAGAGATTTTCCTCAACACATATGTAGAAATGTGGGGTTTTTTTTAAACCAGAAGTAACTGAAAGAACAAAGAAATGATTGATTGTGTGTTTGAGAGGTTGAGTAGTCGTTCTGTCTGTGTGCTATTTAAATAAAGTTGGCCAACCTTGATTTTTTTTTTTTCACCCAAAATATCTGAGCAAAACTGTAACCAAACAAAGCCCCACTTCCTTTGCCTTTACCATTGTGACTTGAGTTTGTGCTCTTAAGGAGGCCTTTGTTTTTGAAGGACAGGAAAGAGTTAAACAATTAGAGGTTACAAAATAATGGCGCAGAGGGTGGGTGGTCCCTGGTGATTGCTGTTTATCACAGATGAGAAAAGAGAGCTCAGGAAAAGGGTTGGGATGTGGATTAGGACAAAGAGGCAGCGCAGAGAGGCATTAACAGAGGCACCGCAGGGCTAGCTGATGCTGTAATAGGTTTGGGTGGAGGGTGCAAGGTGGTGAGGTCATGTTGAGAACAAGAGGGGGAAAAAAAAAAATAAAGTGTGTGATTAAAATGTGGAATGTGTGTATCTGAAGCTTGCAAGATCCATGTTTCCATGGGCTACAGCTCAAACCGCGCAGAGAGGGAGGGAGCTGAGAGTGCACACCCAGGAAATGTGACAGAGTTGGCAGCTGTGAGGAGAAGCATGAGCTTTTTAGTGGTCAATAAAAGCAGGATTGAAATGACATGTAGCATGAAAGCCAGAAAGAGAAAGGGAGGAGCACCTCAAGCAGCAGTGACTGTTCAATGCAAATCATTAAACTGTGACACGATGCATGAGATTCTGCACAGTTCTGGCCCAGCTCGGACCGTAAACAAACAGCTCGACCCATTCACAGTCCAAATACTTGGCACAAAAATGACCAGAACCCGGTAAACAGAGTAACGCTGGAGGGTTGTTTTCAAGACTGACGTTGGTGCACATTCCTGCCTGCAGCCATTAGCCAACTAATCACTTAGACCACAGATATGTTGGAGTGAGTTAATGGTCATCAAAGGGCAGCGTGGAGGAGGGAAGTTTAGCAATCAGCTTGGGAATAGTGGGAGAGACAGAAAAAAAAATAAAGGAGCCAAGAAGTGATAACAGTGTGAGGCTGCAAGGACAGGTCCCTCCTGTCACAGGCTGCGGCGTGATGTTGAACAGCTGTGGAGAGAGGGGGCTCACTTCCTGTGTCCAAACCCATAAAATACGCTTTGTAGCAGGAGATGAGATGAGTTCCTCCAAGGACAGCACTGAACACACTGGTTGACTCTTTGACTTTTTCTCTTTTCTTTTTTGTATATTCTCCCCTCCCTGCTGTGTTTCTCAGCCCATGAGCATTTTACTGTTGAGAAGAGGGAAGTGAAACGTTCTTTATCTCAGATGATCTCCTCGTTCAGCTGCTGTGTGCACTCTCAATGCTTAATACAAATGTACTGTTTTTTTTTAGCTGTCTTTATTACCTCCCCGAAGGACGTTATGTTTTCACCTGTGTCTGTTTGTTTGCTGGTTTGTTTGTTTGTTTGTCAGCAGGATTATGCAAAAAATGGTGCAGATCTGGTTAAAGAGGCAGATCTGTTGCTAGTTGGGGCATTTTTCAACACTTTCATTGGTTTCTCAAGAAATAATGTTTTGAATCTTTATCTTTATTTATGGTGTTGATATATGTGCTCCACTGAGCAGAAAGTAACTCCCCTTTACAACGTCATTCAGCTTTTGCAAAGGGTTGCCATGCCACATTTTCTGTTTCAAAGTTTCACACACTGAGAAGTAAAAAACAAAGGGATTTCCAGATGCAACAAGGGAATCAAGTGATCAAAAACAAAGGGATCAGTTATAATTTTAATTTGTTACATTTTCAAACTCTTACCTGCAAATTCATCTTGGTGGTTTTCTGAGGAAGCTGTTTTATATCTCTCACCATCTACACAAAAAGAGTTCATGGTGCTGATGTCAGAGTGGATGTTCAATGTGCGAGGATGAAAACAAGGATCTCAAAGACCATAATCATTTCTCATCTTACACTACATACTTCATGTTTTTATTTTGAATTGTTTGATTGTGATAATTGTTGATTGATCACTAATCTCTGACATCCATTTGAATGTGATCGAAATACTTCAGATAAAACCACTGACCTCATGCAGTGCATTAACATTTTCTAATGTTCTATATGTATATGAGTATTTCCCAAGAGTCTCACTATGATGCACTTGGGCAGTTTGTATCATGAAAGTGAGAAAAACAATGCAAGGAATCCTTGCTCCGCTCCTATATTTCACATATTTACCAGTTATGTCCTCAGCTCATGAGAGGCATTATATTAATTTTAAAATGTGACAGTGTATCAAGACTGATGTTAATATAAAGTATTATTCAGGTGTTTAATCAAAAGTTGTTGTTTTTTTTCCCAGAAGGAGTCTCCATCCAAGCCATCTGTGGCTGAACTGGCTGGAAGGTTCAAAGGTCATATTCTACCAATGCCCACCTCAAACGATGAGGTAATGCACTTTATTTATATCTTATATGCAACAGCATCCAAACAAAAATGTACAAAACAAAAAAACTGCGTGTTTACAGATTTTATTTACTCTTCTTGTGCTTTTTCTCTGTAGTTGTCATTTCGAAGAAGACCTCCATGTTCTCTGAAGCTGCAGCATCAAAAAGATGATAATGAAGAATCAGATGTGAGTAATTTTTTTCTTTTACTGAGTCACGTGCTCCAGATGTGCTTTCTTAATATACAAAGCAAATCCCCAGAAAACAGACTTGATTTGTTTACTGTACATTTACATCGCAGCCTCACCATTTCAACAAAGCAGAAATTGAAGTTTTCCCAGATCTGCAATTTCATCCGTTTGTCTTCTGACTAAAACACTAAGAAAATGCTGCTGTTTCTTCCAGTAAAAATAACGATGAAACAAACCACACAAACCTCTGTTTGCATCATGGCCAATCGAAAAGAACACAGCACAACCAAAGTGCAAAAATGTATACATCATGAGCATGTGCTATAAAAACATTATTTTGTAAGTTGTATGTATTTAATACTATTTAATATATCTAATGTAGTCTTAATACCGGGATTGTGCCAGTATGTCCCAGTGTGCTGCATAATGACGCACAGTAACACTAATTCATGTCACTGTTAGCTTTTGTGAATGATTTCTGAATTTGTCTTTTCATGAACCCTGGTCTGACCGTGTTCTCCTGCAGAAAACTGCTGTCTCCTCAAATCCCTTTAAGATCAAGATGAAGAACTCCCCCATCATTGAGAAACTGCAGGTTGGTGCATGCATCTGGCAACATTCGAATAATTTGTGAGGGAAAGAGGAAACAAAACGACAGCTTGCATCACCAATGATGTGTTATTATAAGCTGTAGCATGTAGTCAGGAGTTTTCTCTTATCAGGGATATTTAAAGCTTTACTGCCACCCACTGTTCAGTTTACACTGGTGCGTGAGCTGCTCACATGCTGAGGAAAAAGAGGAAGGGCTTGTCCCTGACGCCACAATCAGCTCAGATTAATGAGCTAATGGGATCAAGGGCCACCCAGCCTCCAGTGAGGCTCCAACTCTCCACCATTACTCCTTTAGTTAAAAGTTCACACGGTGGGCAGCCATGGGACAAAAGGGCTGCCGCTTCTCCCTCTTCCTCTTTTCCCCAGTGCAGGTAGGATGCTCTCCTCTAAACTTGAACAGTGGTCGGGTGCTAACTCAGGATTTTATGTAGTCCGCTTCTCAGACTGAAGACGACAGGTGTTGTTTACAATACTTAAGAGGGAATTTCAGGACATACTCCTGGCAGTGAGTTTTCAAAGCAGAGAGGTGACAGGTACTAACAGAGCAGTGTCGTAAATGCAAACCTGAATAATATTTGTAACAAAATCCTTTTATACTTTTCAAGCAAAGCTATAATATTATATTTTAAAGAGGAATACTGCCAACTTGGTGACTAGAAATACTATCAATTGTAAACTGTTTAATTTTTACATTTTAAAGAAAATAATATACCTGTGTTTAAAGAAATTACAGTTTAATATTTCCTTCTCCTTAATGAACCTTCTCCTAATGATTTCCTATGTTGAAATGGTTTAATATTTAAGACAATCTTACTCTCATCCAAGGTTTGTTGTATGTTGGTTTTGATAAGTGCTGTTTAAATAAATATAGTAGCAATAGTTAAAGGTGTTGTCTTCTAATTAAGTTTTATTAGAACACAATGTACTAAAGAGATTATAGTGTCTGGGCCTCAGGATGTTCCCTTCCCCCCTGCAGGCCAACCTTGCTCTGTCTCCCACTGCTCTTCTGCCTTCGCCCAAGAGCCCAGAGGTGAAGCTGCAACCAGCACCTTTGTCCCCCACCACGCCCTGCAGCCCCCCGAGCCCCCTGAGCCCCACCCTGCGGACCTCACAGCTGTCCAGTGAGGAGGAGGATCCCGTCAGCTTTGACAGCCCTCCTGAGGGCGCCCCACTGCCGAGCATCAACAAGGTAAATATATGGACTCATGCAAAGATGCACAGTAGCTTGACAATATGAAGGAAAAATAGATCTGGGCTATTTGTTACAACATCTCAGTATAATGCAGTTGGACTGATTTTATAGTATTACTGCATGTATCAGGCAGAAGGCCAAAATGTAGCATTGACCATACTGATATATTTTCAATATTGCAGATCATTTGTAAGTATTTTTGAATAGATGGGTACTCCTATGTATCTTATGTTTGTTTGGGTTTTTGCACAAGTTCTGAGTCACTGAATGACAGCCATGAGCTGCTGTCACACTGAGGCCCCTTAAGTGTTTCTCACGCTATTCACCGAGTGAGCTGTGACATCACAGCTGGCCACATGGTCCTTGTAGCTGTTGACGTGTTTCTCAGTGGGTGTTCTGCATCTCCTGTTTAAGCAGGCCTCAGATAAGCTGGAGCAAGATGCTACTATAGTGCATAAGTGCTGCTGCAAGGGGGATTGAAGATGTAATCCCCTTAGCCTAGTTAGAGTTTCTAGGTACCTTTTTGTGCACTACTCTCACGCATATGCTGATTACACTTGGATAGCTGCCAGAAACATCTTAATCATACAAATGATTTGATATTAAATATAAAATTTTCCCTTTTTTAATACTAGACATTTGAATTTTTTGAAAACATGATCTAAATTACCTGCTGGCTATTACTTGTTTTGTCCACACAGACCCGTGTGCGACTATCATTCAAGAGGCGCCCGCCCACGAGACAGCACAGGAGGTCAGCTGGAGAGGAGGCGGGAGCCTTCGGAAGCGGTCTGTCTACATGTGAACTGTACAGCCCAAAAGAAAATGGGGACAAGGACCAGGTTTTTGACAGCGCAGCAGAGGAAGCTGAATGTGGGCAACTGGGCAGTCAGAAAGACATTAAAGACAAGGACATGGACTATGGAAAGACACAGGACAACGTGGCAAAGAGTGACCCAGACAATAAAGGAGATCCAGAGGAGGAGCAGGAAGCAGAAGAAGCCCAGTGCTCAGAGGGTTTGGAGGAGGAACAGCAACCTTCAGAGCCTTGCCCTGCTGATCAGATAGAGGGCAATATTAAGATGGAAGATGAGCAGGAGCAGATGTCTCAGGAGGCACGCCAAGGAGGAAATGATGCGGTGTGAACTGTGAATGTTTACTTTAAGAAAAAAAAAAGATATATATATATATATGTATAAGTTATTCTGTGCTTTGATTAAGAGAACTCTGAAAAAGAGTTCATCTGTTTTAAATTTCATGGTACCTGCTCTGTTTTAAATCCCTCTGTCGCCCTCTCCAGGCCGTATATAGAACAGGTCTATAAACACTGGAGAGTTCTGAGAAGCAGCTGTTTTCTTGCACATGGAAATGAGCATCACTGTTGATACTGTATCCATGATCAGAGGAAATTTCATTCATGTTGTACCAAGTCTGCATGACCAGACAAGTCAAAGACATTGTTAACAGTGCACTTCCGAGTCTCTGTCACACACAGAGAGATTTGAAAATACTGAATGCTGGGTTGACAACAGGCAAAAATAATATTAGATTTCATATATATGTTAGCAGATACATAAACGTCCTGGCATCAACTAAATCACTGTCACTTTAGGTTGAAATTATATACTTTGCTTTATTTTTTTTTTGATGTATGTTGGGCGACATCTCTGCTTGTCTTCTATTTTGTATACTACAAAATATCTAAATCACAGTGCTACTGTGGAGTGGCTCAGGTCCTCAGATTATGCATAGAAATATTAAGAAAATAAACAGCTTCCTTCTTACATAAAGAAAACTTTGTTACATGTGTTTGGGTTTGTTGAGTCATTATGGGTCATTATGTCACTTTGTGTATCAGCTTCAAACACAACTGTTTGATAAGGGCAATGCTGAATGTGCCAGAAGGTCTTCAGTCAGATGAGGCCAAAAAAGTTATATTGAAAGAATTTATAGAGGTTGTATTATAGAGGTCAGAGGTTGTCAATGATGATAAGGGTTGGCTCTGCCCAAATGCAGATTTTTGCAGAAAACCCCTTGCACACCTGAGGAACACCCACACAGGTGATTTCAGTTGTTTTCTGCACCTGTGTGTACAAACTGTGCTTGATTAACAGCTTTGTTGCAGCTGTTAGTGTAGCTGTTGCTGTTAATAGCTATAATCAAAATAACTGAAAACACAATACAGATGGTATTTTATTAAACATCAAGCATATTTTATCAATACAATTTAGACAGTTTTAACATGATATGTCACATGATATGATACAATGTGCCTGTTCCTGTGGGCATTATTAGCATGGTGTGAAAACCATTTAAAACACTTGTTAAGACCAGTCCCAGCCTGGTCAGATGCGTACACGAACTGATGAAGCCTCTTGGATGAGAGGTGAAACGTCTTCCCAGACAAATAATCAAGTCCAGTTGCGTTTTGATTTAAAACTCCTTCAGGATACCATGACCTGGACAAATGAGAATATGCACAGGCCACTTGTTAAGAAGTTCATATGAACTTTGTCGGCCTCTACTGGTGACCATGAAGAATTGCAACTGCAGAATTGCAATAATGGTGAAATATATTGCTGTTCCCTGCAATTGCTACCTTAACCCTAGAATGCAACTTGACTTAAATGTTTGTCTCATGTTTCAAAATGGCCGTTAATTGTTAAATTGACAAACTTGCGTTTATATATCCTTATTAACTGTTTTAATCAGAATAAGGATGGGTTTAGCAGCAGTGTAGCAAGTGCAGCAGCAGGTGACATCTACACTGTAAATGTGTTCTTACTGAAAAAAGTATACTTGATTCAAGGTTCCTGCTCAGTTCAGTTGACAATAATGGCTGATTTTCAATGTAAACAAAAATAAATGAAAATCAGTAAGTCATTAAAGGTAATGACAGAAGAATTCCTGGAATTTTCTGCAGTAAATATATTTATTTTGGCAAATATAAAGAAAACAGCCACCAACAGTCTTTTGAAGCATCATACTTAATACCATTAGGTTAAGCACATATTTAACAATCATATAATCCTCAGGACATTTACCTGAGGGAGGGGAGAGGGGGGATCACGTGGACTGCATACTTCAAATACCTAAATGGTGCGACTTAGTCAGTTTTTCACGCGAATTTCCATAGCAATTTTATTTCATAACGCATTTTGACAGTAAAAGCAGATTTTGAATCGCAATACAGCCAGTAGTACATCCAAAAAAATACAGAGGTGTCATGTTCAGCCGTTGTGACATCTAACGTTTCCTCCCCCGGTTTCTTGACGACGCCTTCCGACGTCAGCGCCAGCGAAACTTGTAAGGAAACTCACCTGTCTGACTGGGAAGGACGAGCAGAGAAAGAAGAAAGTAATGACCTCGTCCTAAATAGCAGAGATAAACTTTTCCAACAGTTGTCAGGTCTGTAGATAACTGAGTGACCTGTGTTACTTTGAGAGGTTGTTGCCTTTTCGAACCGTGGGTGGGACGTTTACGTCGCGCGGGCAGTGTAGTTTCATTATTAAAACTTATAACTTTTAGTCACTTCCGCGTTGGGACTTCAGTCAGGATATTTATAACAGCTCCCAATAACCACTGGGCGTTGAAGACAAATAAGCATGGACCCTGTGCTGCCGCTCTACACGAGAAATGGGAACGACGGTGGGTCTTATTCATCTAGTGAATGGGTGAGTTCATGAGATAAATTTATGAGAGTTTGTTTTTATTGGCCTGCCCAATAATAATAACGAAAATTTAAAAAGCAATCCTTGTGATGATTCTTAGAAGCCCACTTGAAACAATTGAGATAATAATCAAGAGATTAGTTGATAGTGAAAATAATCTGTAATCATTGCTCTGGATGTCATACATCATCATCATTTTGCATGGAAATTGCCACTGTGGTCTTAAGCATTTTACAGTAACATTCCCCAATATTTGACTCCTCCCAGGTGGCAACGGGTAATGGAGATGGTGGTGTGGCCTACAGGAACTCTGAGGAAACAGAAAGGGACAATTTGCTTACAGTACAGGTGAGCTTTCATCAAGGTTGTGCCGTGGCTTATACAGTATTTTGTTTTGTTAAATTGTTAACAGTCCGCTCAAGAGAAGGAGACTAGAGTAGGACATATAAAATTTCCTTTTCTGTGTAAAAGAGCTGCCCTCTCCATGACAACAACTTGTGCTATTCATGGATGAATCATTGGCCGAATCAAAACACTTTGCCCAGATGATAAATTCCCTTCTCAGAAAAAGGAGGAAAGTGGCATACTGTATGTGTCTTTTTGCTTTGTCAGGTTCCTGCTGGTAACGGGGAGATGACGCTCTCTGGCCACGAAGTAGAAGCTCAAAGGAATCTGGCAAATACACACACTCCTCGAGAGGTAAAACGACTGCAGTTTGTTGTTTCTTGAGCTTTGCCTCCTACACTGACAGTAAAGGAAGTGTAACTTTTCCGTTACCCTGTGACAACCCTCCCTGTGAGTTATTTATACATCAATCCCCTGAACAGTGGAGAGGATTTAATTCAGTTCAATCCAGTTTTATTTATACAGCACTGATGATAACATATCATTATCTCAAGGGACTTTACAGAGTAAGGTCAAGACCTTGCAATACTGTAGAAAAGAGAAACCCTGACAGTTCCAACAATGAGTAGAGTTGAGCTAGGCAACAGCGGAGAGGAAAAACCCCCTTTGAACAGGAAAAAACCTCCAACACAAGCGGATACAGGGTGGGCAGCTGTCTGCCTGGACTGGTGGGTTGGGAGGAGAGAAATGGGAAGAAATAAATGAAAAGAGAAAGCAGAAATATCAGTGTATACTGTTGTATTCAAGCACTGTCAGTCTGGTTATTTTAATGATAATAATAGTGGTGATACTTACAGGTGTAATTGTGTTATTAATAATATCAGCACCAATGATAGCAGCACCAAGTAATAATAATAACATTAAATAATAAGATTATCAGATTTAAAAAAGTCTAATATGGAAGTGCTACTTAAAGGTAAAACATCCTTAAACAACCCAGTTGGAATAGAATCTAAAAGAGAAGTTGTTACGGTATGTTAGTTTATGTTATGGCAGCATTCCTTCCTGGTGTTTTCTGTCCTTTCCCTGTCCTGTCTCCCGTATAGCTCCGCCCGGGCCCACCCTGATTACTTCATGAGATGCACCTGGCCTGGGAAGGAAGGCTTTAAAAACTCTGGTCCCAGCAGCAGAAGGGCAGAGGCTTTCAGCATGGAGACTGCTGGTTTAGTGGCGTCTCAGCCTGAGAGTTTTTGTTGTGTTCTCATGTGGTCTTAACTTAGTGTCCTGATCCTTTTGCACATTTATGTTGAATAAACCCTTTATTATTTTAGAGGGGTCTTATGGGGGTATATAGTCACTCTACAGATCTTTGGATCCTAGTGTGGTGGGTTTGGCCTCCCAGTTCATCAGGTCAGTGTATGTTTTGCTGGTTGTCTACATTTGCCACAGTAGCTTGTGGTTGAAGACCACCTGGTGTCTATTTTGTGTCGTGGTAGTTCACTTTTGTTGGGTCTTTGTAATGCTGTTGGGATGTGGCAGCAACTTTGTCATTGGTCTACTTGGTGTGACCCCTCTAGTTTGTGGCTGTCGCACTCCACGTTTGTGTTGGTCACCTGTACTGATTGATTGTTGTGGGTAAATGCAATGATGTGTGTTCTGTGATATTTGTTCACCTCATGGTGGTAACCATTTTGTATCTAGTGGGAGTGGCACCCACTTACAGCTATTTGTTTTGGCTGCTCATCTGTAAATCCAGTGGCAGCAACTAAGTTGGCTTTTTTGTGTATGACCTTGTTTGAGCCACCTTTTTGACCAGCATGCCTTCCCAGTGTTTTCTGTCCTTTCCCCTGTCCCTTCCCTATAGCTCTGCCTGGGCCCACCCTGATTACTTCATGAGATGCACCTGGCCTGGGAAGGAAGGCTTTAAAAACTCTGGTCCCAGCAGCAGAAGGGCAGAGGCTTTCAGCATGGGGACTGCTGGTTTAGTGGCGTCTCAGCCTGAGAGTTTTGTTGTGTTCTCTTGTGTCTTGTCTTAATTTAGTGTCCTGATCCTTTTGCACATTTATGTTGAATAAATCCTTTATTATTTTAGAGTCTTATGAGTTTGTTGGATCACTGGTGGAGTTTTGTGCACCCCTTAGGGCCCAATTAAAGGTGGGGTGTAACAGTTTAGATGAAGAAACACCAGTTGTGGGAAGGGTGATGTGTTCTATTTTGTATCTAGTGGGAGTGGCACCCACTTACAGCTATTTGTTTTGGCTGCTCATCTGTAATCCAGTGGCAGCAACTAAGTTGGCTTTTTTTGTGTATGACCTTGTTTGAGCACCTTTTTGACCAGCATGCCTTCCCAGTGTTTTCTGTCCTTTCCCCTGTCCCTTCCCTATAGCTCTGCCTGGGCCCACCCTGATTACTTCATGAGATGCACCTGGCCTGGGAAGGAAGGCTTTAAAAACTCTGGTCCCAGCAGCAGAAGGGCAGAGGCTTTCAGCATGGGGACTGCTGGTTTAGTGGCGTCTCAGCCTGAGAGTTTTGTTGTGTTCTCTTGTGTCTTGTCTTAATTTAGTGTCCTGATCCTTTTGCACATTTATAGTTG